ATACGATATTCATAATACAGTACAGAGTATTCCCAAATCTAATAAAAAAGGAAACTTATAATAAAAATTTTCCCTTAAATATGCCTTTATAGCCGAGCATTCAATTAAGCATTTAACGCAAACAGTATTCATAATTTACAAACTAATAAATATTAATTTATAACTCATATAAAAACTGTTTTTCTTTAATGTTAAACGCTTGATATAAAATAGTGTGGAATTTGACCGATCAGTTAATTATTTAATTCTCACAATTCATGACAATTTTACTATGAATACAACGATTGATAAGAAGTTTGGTTTTTTGCTAGTTTTTGTTGCCTTCACTTCGCGATCATTAGTTATTTTTGTGGCTATTATTCGTATCGGAAATTGATTCACTCCTTAATAACAATAATAATGAAAGTCTTGTGACGTTACGCATAAAAAATTTCCCAAAATATATAGTTAATGACAGATACAGACAAACAATTATGGTTTTATTTTTACCTGTACAAATCTTTTGTGAGTGCATACTGAGTTAACTAATAAAAGTACGGTATTGCTTAATTGTCGATATTTATCGATAAAAATATCTGCAATTATTTTTAAACAATAACAATAATTATTTTATTGAAAACATATTTTGTTACAATTGTCTAGCATAATTTGAGAAATAGAATTTCAATAAAAATTGTAATTATAACTTGGCAATGCCATTTATTTATAGATATTCACTTTGCAACAAATAACATTACAAATAAACAAAGCAATAAATTAATCAGTGCAATAGTGTATTGTATTTAGTATAATCCATGTACTAATATTTATTTTACATTTATTTATTGTAATATATCATAGTATACTAAAGATTTATACGTTTATTGATTAAAATAGTAACTCTTAAGCAAATTAACCTGAAATATTAAAAACAAATAAACATTAATCTAATTAAATAAATTATAACAATTAGTAAGGATCATTGATTGATAATGTTAATAATTAAATTAATAAATAGTCACAATTGTGCCTTATAAGAATATTAAAATATGTTTTATTTAGCTGTATTAAGAATGTAATTAAAAATGAATTTTATTTTATGATAAAAAGTTCATAATACTTATCAAATGATTAAATAATATTGTGTTAATCCTAAATTAGAATATTTTTTGTTAAAGCACACATAAGGTTCGTAAAAAGTTACACAAAAGTACTTTTTTAAACCTAGATACTAAATTTATCAGTAAAAGAGAGGTCATAGTTAGATAACAAATATATTGCTAAATTATATAATGTACAGAATTTTGTTAATTATTTTGCAGGGGATATATTGTTTGCGGAGTATACTGTAGAAACTATGTACAGTATGTGTTTTTGATTATCTCTGTACTTTTAGTTATATAAATTGTCCCATTCCCTCAATATTTTATTATCGAAATGTGCTTTCTCATAATCTAGATTTATTATACATCTAGATGTATTTTATCAATCAAATGTTCTTAAATTGTTATTATTTTATTATTAAAATGAAGATATTACAATTAACCATAAAATTATAATTAAAACCAAGATAACATAAGATACTAATTGTATGTTTTCCACTTAAAAAATATATCTCAAAGTTAGCAAAATTGTATTAAATAATTTTCAATACTTAAATTACTTATAATAATTACCTGATTTACAGAGGTTTATAAATATCTAAATACTTTTATAGACTGTAAATTACAGTATTTGAATGGATATTATTTGAAATAATTTATTGCTTACTTAATTTACTTAATTAATTTAATGTTCATTTAAATGACTGATAAAATAAATAGATTTTCGGTAAAGTTTTGATGTTTTCGTAAAAATCTCTTCACAAATATCTCTAAATATATGATTGAAAACTAATCTCAAAATGTATTATTTCCGGACTAACACTCCACACAATTAAGAAATATCTAAACAACAAAACAATTCGTAAACACTTTACAAATATATTGATTACAAATCAATTGTGAAAAATATGTTTATAATAGTATATATGATTAAATTAGAAAAATAATACATTATGATAAAATCATCCAGTTAAACATTACTAATAAAATTGCAATAATATGCTTATATAAAAATAATATACAGTTATAAGTCATTTTATAAAATTAAGTATAATATAAAGAAATATTAAATTTATTTCCATAATTTACTAATAATTAAAACCTTTATTGCATATAAAATTCTTAACATATGTACAATTTAAAAAATAAAATAAAATCATTTAAAAAATTAGGAAATTTGATGAACATATGAATTATAAAATAAATAAATAAATACTAAATTATGGTAAATGTATGATACAGTATAATAAGTCATCCCTTTGTATGGGTTAACAGAATTCATTATATAACACACTTATATCGTGAACACACGTCTAGATTGGATTCAAACGGTAACTGCAGAGCAATCTATTGAATAACACACGTATTGTTTAGCGAAATGATTCATTCAAAGGTTAATTGTGTTGATATCCTAATCGAGATAATTGTTAAGTAATGGCACACAGCCTAACAACACAGGAAAGCCACCCTATGTAGATGTAGAAATACCCACGCTCAATCACATACATATTTTACAGTACAATATACTGTATACATGTAATAATTTCATAGAATTTTGCAATGCCGTATTAATACATAAACAAAAGTGAGTAATCAAGTAATCATTTGTATAGAATAACAGAATGCAATAAAATGTGGTCTCTATGTAAAACTAGTGGTGATAATGAAAGTCACGCCACAATTTTGTTAGGTGTTTAGTACATGTTGACAATATATGAATATTGTTATATGATATATTTAGATATGCATTGAAATTACAAACATCAAATGTATGTGTAATCAATCGTACGATTCTTAATATTAGAAATATTAAGGAAATAAATTGCTTTTATGTCAAATATAAGTTATAAGTTACAAGTTACATTATATATTCATGTGTACTCCTGTCAAAATAGTGATGAATAATACAGTGATTTGATTAACAACAATTTAGCTGTATATAAATATTGTATAAAACTTTATTTTGAATAAAAATATTATTGTGTAAAGCTAATATCAGTTTCATAAAAAGGCAAAAAGTGAATTAAATAAAAACAAGTTTTTCTAATTATTACCAAAAGAAGTTTATGGATTAACTTTATGTATATTTCATATATCCACCAAAAATAATATCGTATAATTTGATTCAGGTACGGGGAAAACCATTTTTTCATAAACATCTATAATAAATTATCTGTGTTATTTGTGATATAAGTGAAATATTATATCTAAATGTGTTTATGAATGCATATCAGGACACATTTGAATTATTTTTTATCGCCACTTAATTGAGGCGAAATTGAAAATCTAAATCAGTCTCAGCCTTGAATTTAATCCATTCATATCTGGATGAAAAAACTACTAGTTATATAAAAATCATATTTTTATATTTTTTTATGTCATCTAGTATGCAAACCAAAACCCTAACGCCTATCCACTTATCAGACCTCCCTGTTAACGTGTATTTGATTCAAATTTGTCGCAAATCCTGATAACGCCATCCTAAAAATAGTTATCAATTAAATATTTTAACTTTATATTATTGGATCCTTTGAAGTATTGCCAACTTCTCTAAAAAATCCAGTCTCTCTACGCCAACCCTGGAGCTACTGTTGAAAACCTTGCATACCTTTCCTTACATAAACAAAGTGTGTGTGCGTTTTGCCGTTAGTTTTCCAGACCGGTGCCGACGACCTGACATACAATTTAAACAACAAAATCATTGAATAATATATTAAAAGATATTAAATGCGCTTAGGAGGAAAAATAATATTTAATGTCCCTAATCTCTCTCTCTCTCTCTCCCTCCCTCCCTCTCTCTCTCTCTCTCTCTCCCTGAATGTGATGTCAAATCAATAGAGCGTTTATTTTCACCCAATTTTCTCTGAATGAATGACTGAATATTATAGGGATTTATGCGTTAAGTTATGTCTATTAATACATAATTACTCTAAATTTTATTTTATTTTTACGACAAACTAATTTTGAATTAAACAGAAATGTTATTCAAAACTTAGTTGTTTGCCGTCAATGTCAGCGGCTCTGGATTTGCGCAAAAAAAATATACTAAAATATTTATTTGTTTTTAAAAATGAAAGTTTTATATTTTGAAAACATTACAAAAACCTGGCTTTTGAGAAAAGTATACGTTTCTTAATTAAGTTTTTAATTTAAATAATAAATCATAATAATAACAGTAATGAAAGTATAGTCACGTCATATCGTATTCAATCACGTTATCATATAATGCTATTCTGGCAAAAGTATTTTATTTATAGTAGTTTTTTATAAACTGTTTTAATCAATAATTTATTTAAAAGTTTTATTTACTGTCCAATTATTATATCATAAGAAAATCGGAAGACATGTCCACAAGTCATATGAATGTTAAGTCTTCTGATATTCTTACGACAAAACTAAATGTTGATTTAAGTTGTAAATTTTTACTTACTTTATCAACATTGCTAAGTTAAAAACTTAATATAAAATGACTGAAATGGCAAAACTAATTAAGATTTTTTAATTAAATCTTTTACACTAGTGTTCAACATTGAGACAACTGACTATTTTGTGGGAATATTTTGTTTGTGCGTAAAAATTTGTTGCAAAATCTAATAACAAATAACAATAACTTAATAAAAGAACCCTTTATGTGATTTTTTACACTAGTGTTCAACATTGAGACAACTGACTATTTTGTGGGAATATTTTGTTTGTGCGTAAAAATTTGTTGCAAAATCTAATAACAAATAACAATAACTTAATAAAAGAACCCTTTATGTGATTCTCTACAATCTTCAGATTAACACAGAAATACAGAATATTGTGTTATTTTTTCCCAAAAAAGGGAAAACTATTTAATTTGTGTTTTGAATAGAAAGCGAAAAAATAATAAAATACCGAAAGCCGCACGACACTGTGATTATATTGAAATTAAGAAATTGCTAGAAAATATATACAGTATTTGTTTGGCATATAACTTATAATAATTTTAAAAAGCGCATACAAGTGCTAAATAAATTGAAGTGACACTTATTGGCAAAAATGTATTTACGGGTCAAATACTGGAATTACATAAGCTTTGTGATCGTGTCGCTCATCCGAGTGATTGTGCATACCTATGACATCATAACACTTCCAGTCTATGCGCTAATCCAGAAGCCGTGGATTGTCAAGAAAAAGGCTGATGCTATACGAGCCCAGTCTATCAATGGCCAGTGGGAGCTGTTGGGCGAGGGGGCCAAACATTTTCTACACGATTGCCGTACAGTGGATGAGGCCATCAGGAAGTCGATTGACTATAACGGCAAAGACAAGCCATGTCTGGCCTACAGAGAGATACTTGACGAAGAGACCGATACGTTGAATGGAAAGCCTATCACTAAATTGGTCTTAAGTGACTATAAATGGATAACTTATGGCAAGTTTGACGCAAAAGTGACGAATATATCGCGAGGACTGTTACTAAATGGCGTCAAATCTAAAGACAAAGTGATGATATTTGCGGACACGTGCGCCGATTGGTTCACATGCGCGCAGTCTATACTAAGAATCGGGTCCACTGTGGCCACCATATACTCATCGCTCAATGACGAGGGTATGTTACAAATGACTGTAATATTTTAAAATTAACTTTTTTTCTCTGTTAAGGAATTATCCACGGCTTGAATGAGACGGAAGTAACTCATGTGATAACATCGCATAACTTACTGAACAAACTGATGAAACTGAAGCCACAAATCCCTAAAATGTCGAAAATTATATTTTTCGACTCAAATAACAATCAAAGCAATCACTCGATAGAAAACTTTGACAATAAGGACGTCAGTCTTATCGCATTGTCTGACTTGGAAGAGATGGGCCGACAAACCACTGAAGAGTTGTCTTACGATTCGCCTAATGAAGAGGATATTGCAGTCTTGTTATACACTTCTGGTAATTGAAAATAAATGCAAATATAATTAAACACATGATTAATGACATCGTATTCAATAGGATCGACAGGAGTGCCAAAGGGAGTGAAGATAACCCACAAGAATCTAATGAAGTCGTGTTCCGCTTACAAACTACTGGTCGACCACGTGTTGGACACCCGCGACCAGCAGCTATACATTGCATACCTACCTCTCGCTCACATACTGGAGCTCATCACAGAAACCATATTGTTTGTCGTGGGCATCAGAATTGGTTACTCGACGCCAAACACGCTGACAGATCTCGGGACCGCCATCCGAAAGGGCGATAAAGGGGACGCCACTCTATTGAGACCTACAGTGATGGGCGGAGTTCCCCTCGTGTTGGATCGCATTCGCAAAGGCATTATGGATAAGATTAATAGAAAGGGTTTGATCGCCAAAAAGTTGTTTGAGTTTGTGGTCGATTACAAGGCATTTTGGACGAAAAAAGGTTATTCACATATAATTTCCAAACTAATATTTGTGTTTAAAACAAACTTTTTATTAAAATGTAGGTTTTGACACACCCATTATAAATAGCATTGTTTGCAAACAGTTTAGGAGTTTAGTAGGCGGGAGGTTAGATATTATGTTCGTCGGAGGGGCCCCTCTATGTCATGACACGCAGAAAGTTATCAAGTCGTGTCTCAATATTACACTACTTCAGGGATACGCGTCCACTGAGACTACAGGCGCCGGTTGTATAATGGATCCATGGGACCAGAGCTTTGGTCGGGTGGGCGCACCCCTATTGGGCACTAGAATTGAATTAACCGATTGGGAAGAGGGAGGCTATAGAGCCACCGACAGACCCAACCCCAGAGGAGAGATAATCATAGGCAGCGACTCAATATCAGCCGGTTATTACAAATTAGATGCGGCCACCGATGAGGCCTATTATGTGGACTCGTGCGGCAAGAGGTGGTTCCGGACCGGAGATATCGGCGAAGTCTATGCGAACGGAACCTTCAAAATAATTGACCGCAAAAAGGATTTAATAAAACTCCAGTTCGGAGAATACGTGTCGTTAGGAAAAGTGAGTGAAATATAATGTATAGAAAAAGTGTCTATTGTTTTGACAATTATTTATTATTCGCGTTTGACGTCTAGATTGAGGCCGAATTGAAATCCAACCCATTTGTGGATAATATATGTGTTTACGGCCACTTATACCACTCATATCTGGTGGCACTGGTAGTGCCAAATCAGTTGGCAGTCGTGCGGCTCGCCAAACGGCTCAAAATAGACTATAACTCCTTCAGTGAATTGTGTGAAAACAAACAATTGATATCCTATTTAAAACATCAGATACGGCGGCACGGCTTGAATGCCAGACTAAGCAAACACGAGATACCTGAGCACATGAGCCTGTGCTGCGAGGAGTGGACTCCAGACAACGGATTAGTGACCGCTGCCATGAAATTGAAACGAAAGCAAATCATTAATAGGTATCAGAAAAGTATCGATCAAATGTATGAAAACAATAATAACTCCTAATTAGCGCAAAATAAATGTTTATTTTTTACAATCATTGTAGTCATGATAGAAATCACACATTACTTCATATTTATAATATTTATGACATGTTTAGGAATAGTGTGGAAAATTACATGTAAAAACTTTTAATTGTATTTCTATAACTTATATTTTTTACAATCATTGTAGTCATGATAGAAATCACACATTACTTCATATTTATAATATTTATGACATGTTTAGGAATAGTGTGGAAAATTACATGTAAAAACTTTTAATTGTATTTCTATAACTTATATACTATAATCATGTTTGCTTAAATTATAAGAAATATTTGCCAAAAAGAATAAAAGTTTTGTTTAATTATTGCTTTTTGCACTTTATTTACCGTTCAGTAGTTATAATTAAGTTTTAAAATTAAATTAAGAAAAGTGAAAAACCAATGATTATTTTAAATATACAGTACCATAAATCTCAAGCAAACAAAAACTTATGTATGCCTGTATTTCCTTATTATATTTAGTTAATAAGTTTTGTTCAAATGTTCCGATACTAGTACTGTACCTGTATTTCATTTGGGAAATTTTTATTCACAATTTCCAAGTATTTAAATGCAAAATAAATATGAATTTATTGACACATTTTATTATTCAAACTATGATTTAGTGAAGCAATTGTTTTTAAAATGCTATTATAAGTGTTTTGTTTTTACCAATAAAATAGGGAAGTCTGGATATATTTGGGTGATATTAATAATGATAATTTTAAAAGTTGTAAATTAAATAGAGTGTCAATCAAATGATAAAATGTTATGATTTTCGTAGACATAATTATCAATATAAAACATAGACTTTTATTGAACATAAACATATTAAGCATCGATTTAATAATAATTATTTCTATAACTTATATACTATAATCATGTTTGCTTAAATTATAAGAAATATTTGCCAAAAAGAATAAAAGTTTTGTTTAATTATTGCTTTTTGCACTTTATTTACCGTTCAGTAGTTATAATTAAATTTTAAAATTAAATTAAGAAAAGTGAAAAACCAATGATTATTTTAAATATACAGTACCATAAATCTCAAGCAAACAAAAACTGATGTATGCATGTATTTCCTTATTATATTTAGTTAATAAGTTTTGTTCAAATGTTCCGATACTAGTACTGTACCTGTATTTCATTTGGGGAAATTTTTATTCACAATTTCCAAGTATTTAAATGCAAAATAAATATGAATTTATTGACACATTTTATTATTCAAACTATAATTTAGTGAAGCAATTGTTTTTAAAATGTTATTATAAGTGTTTTGTTTTTACCAATAAAATAGGGAAGTCTGGATATATTTGGGTGATATTAATAATGATAATTTAAAAAGTTGTAAATTAAATAGAGTGTCAATCAAATGATAAAATGTTATGATTTTCGTAGACATAATTATCAATATAAAACATAGACTTTTATTGAACATAAACATATTAAGCATCGATTTAATAATAATCTATAATTTATAGATTATTTTAGCATGTTAACAGTTAGTTTAAAAATAAAAATCATCAAAATATGAACTGAAAAATAAAGTATTTAATCTCTTTATTAAATGTGTGTAATTTATTTATAAAATGCACTCGAGAATCTTGTTAACAATTATATCAACTGTTGTCTGCAATTAACTTTATTTATCAAAATATTTAGAAATTTAATATCTATCTATGATTAATACTTCAAATATTTGGAAAACCTTTTAGTAGTAATAATATTTTAATGCAAAACCAATTATTTTATTTCAAATAAGTTGTTTCAAAAACAATCAAGTAAAGTGTGATTTAAGATCAATCAAAGCACCCCCTAATGGGTGTTATCATTGATTTATCATTGCTCTTGAATTACTATTTGAAATATTGGGAACAAATTGAATGAATAATATATTTAATTAATAATAAACTACTGAAAAAATACAATGGACATAAATTCACATAAAACATTAGTAATTGGTTTTCGCATTCAATTGTGTTTAAAATGCAAGACTTCTAGTGATTAAAAAACATGACATAAGAAGAACTCCAATAAATCAATGAAAACAACACTAAAAACTTTCTGATGTCTTGTGAACTCATTTTCACTTTCACTACAACTTCGACAACTCTCTCTCTCTCTCTCTCTCTCTCTCTCTCTCTCACTCTCGCTC